AGGTCTACAAAATTAGATAGTGTCTTAAGCCAATCTCTTTTGAGATATAAAAGAGAGAAGCAAGCAGAAACACATGGGAACCTCATACCACCAAGAAAGCAGTGCCGGGAGCAGAGCGCGTCCTTTGGACCTGAGGTTCCAGCGCTGAGATGCTACCAGACCAAGGGAAAACTGATGAATCACAAGGAGCTTCCACCAGAGCCGACAGAGAGAGAAAGCCTTCTCCTGGAGCTGATGCTCTGAATTTGGACTTGTAGCCTACCGAACTGTGAGAGGATAAACTTCTCTTTGTTAAAGCCATCCATTTGTGGTTTCTCTGTTATAGCAGCACTAAATGACTAAGATACTGTTGAAGAACAAAATTCCACACTCTGTTAGGAGTGAAAGAAAATGAGTTTTACTGAGGAATAGAAACAGCTATAGCCAGGCTGCACCAGGTAAAAATACACAGTGTGAAGATTAGCTGGAGCTCTTGGGAGGTTTATATACAGAAATATCAGGAACCAGTGAACACTTTTTCTGATTGGATGATATTTGCATTGTTCTACAAAACAATTTCAAGATTACCATAGGACCCTGAGGTCTTGGTCACAAAACAATAAACATTTCAAAAATAACTTGTTTTTCAGTTATGACGTATCAGTTTATTCACAGACTTCCTGGAGTCTGCCTGCACAAGTATTTTGCAAAGGTAGTTCAGCATAGTTTCTGAGCATAAGGGTGCTTTGCTCAAGCCTTCTTGCATGAAAAGTATTTTGGTTACAAGCTTCCTGAAACATTCTTGTCATAAGCTTCTCGGAACGTTATGTTTGCAATCTTAACCACATACTTTCCGAGAACTGCCACATTTTGGCTCCTCCTCCCCATCCCTCTAGAGCCAGTGCAGATTAACCCACTACTGTGAACCCAGCCTGAACTCCACTATTTTTGGGGATCTGCTGACATTGGTTTGGTTTTTACCAGAGGCTCCCAGCTTCTCAGAGGGGCTCAAGTGAAGTTCAAATAATAGGGCCCTTTTTCTTTAACAGTGCTCTTTCATTCTTCCTTGTAGATTAGTGTGTTGTTTATTTATTTGTTGTTTTCCGTTTCTAAGCTCCTTGAAAGTTGCAACCCAGTTATGCTCAGCATGCTGTTCACTCAACACACATTTTGGGGGCCGGGATTGTGCTGGGTCCTAAGAATTCGGTAACGAACACTTACAATTTATTGGAAGATTCAGGCAAGTAAGGTCCCTGGTGGCTCAGACCATTTGCGTTGGACTACAAACCTAAAGGTTGGCTGTTTGGATCTACTTAGTGGCCAGTGGAAGAAAGGCCTGGCAATCTGCTCCTGTAAAGATTACAGCCAAGAAAACCCTATGGAACAGTTCTACTCTGTAACACATCGGGTTTCCACAAGTTGGACTCCATGGCCACGAGTTTGAGGGTTTTCTTTTTTTTTTACAAACAAGTAAAAGGATAATTAGAATTTGTCAAAAGAAAAATCTGGACAGTCAATTAGAGTTAACAGGGTTTATTGAGTGAGAAGCTGTTAGCAAACAGGTAGCACCCAAACTGAAAATGGTGAGGGACTCGAGTTTATATAGTTAAATTGCAGCCTTTAAAGCTTAGATGAAGAAGCATGTGCACTTTGCTTTGATTGGTTAATCACATTTCATTTTCCTTTTTGGGGGAAAGTAGGTCACTGAATGCTAAACTGGCTTATTTTATGGGATGAGTATTGCTAACTTACGCTGATAAGGAAAATTCATTTAAATTTCGATTCTGCATAAAAGTTGCTGTATCTTGTAAATGGCCTTATGATCAATTTTTGTTCGGTTCTTGCCAGAGGGAAGCCATTTTAACTCTTGCCTCTATAAAAAAATTTTAGCAACTAACAGAGTTATTAAATGCTGAAGTGGGGTTAGTTCTATAGGAGCACGAATAGGGAGTGAGGTGAGAACAGACCAAGAGAAAAGGGTGGTCTGTTAGGGACTGCAAATAATTCCAAATGGTTAGACTCCAGAGTGGTGAGATGTAAGTTTAGAGCAGGGGTTGGCAAACTTTTTCTGGAAAGGGCCAGATAGTAAATATTTTAGGTTTTGTGGACCATGTTGTCTCTATCACAACTACTCTATTAGTAGCTCAGGAGCAGCCAATAAAACTTTATTTATGGACAAGGAAGTTTGAATTTTCACTGTCACAAAATATTATTCATCTTTTAATTTATTTTCAACCATTTAAAAATGTAAAAACTACTTTTTTTTTTTTTTTACTCTACAAATGCTTTATATTTACATTGCTCTTCATGGTTGTCCATCGAGGTTAGTCTTCTCGATTGGAGGGCTTCCCCTCTTTAGGTTCTAGGATGGTGGACAGCGAGAAAACTGCCTACGCAGTTATGAGATGCATAGTTTAATAGCACTTGCAGGATAATATAGCCAGGGATTCATGCAGGGTCAGGGCACTGGCAGCCCAGCAGTGTACCCATCATCCAGGAAGATCCTCTGAGGAACTCTCAGGGGTAATTTACCAAAGTTCATTCTGAGCTACGGGATGTATCTTTCAGTTCCTCAGCTAAGCAGCTGTTTTGGAGATGTTTTCCCCTTCCTTGGTGATGGACACATGTTCTTAGTGTACTGTTAAAAGCTATAAGATTTAAGCAATTTAAAGGATCAGCTATTTACTGAGAAAAACAGATTGCAAAGCAAGCAGTCATTTCCGAAGAAACTGCTGCGAAAACAGTGAAGTGGTTTTGAGCTTATAGTTATGGGTTGAACTGTGCCCCCCAAAAATACGTGTTGTAAATCCTAATGTCTATGCCTATAGTTATTATCCCATATGGGAATGGGTTGTCTTTGTTATGTTAATGAGACAGGAATAGTGTAGGGTGTGTCTTGAGTCAATCTCTTTTGAGATATAAAAGAGATTAAACAAGTGACCAAGAGAGAAGCAGAGATGGAGGAAGAGAGATGCCAAGCCACGTGAAGATTGCCCAGGAGCAGTTCAGAAGAGACAAGGATCTTTCTCCAGAGCCAACAGAGAGAGAAAGCGTTCCCCTAGACCCAACAGCCTGAATTCAGACTTCTAGCCTCCTAAACTGTGAGAAAATAAATTTCTGTTTGTTAAAGCCACCCATTTGTGGCATTTCTGGTATAGCAACACTTGATAACTAAGACACATACCTTTTACAATCTCATGATAAAGGAAGGAATGCACAGCTGGTTTTCTGGAGGTCATACATTAATTTTAAGTATGTAGAGAAAAGCAAGTCATATAGAATGTATATGTAAATCTTAGAGATACAGACCTTGGAAAGAGAAAGGCTTTGGGGCTAAACATCTACCATTTGTTATTTTAAAAGTGAGTATGATCATTGGGAAAATTTAAAACAAGAAGAAGCATTCTTAGGAGGTTAATGAGGTTGGTTTGCAGGAGTATATTTAATCATAAGGCGCCCAGAAGTCTAGGAGCATTGTCCAGGCTTTTGGGAAGTTGTTTAATTTTAACAGTACTAGGTATCTGCTGGAGAAAGATTTGGCAGTCTGCTTCTGTA